CAACGTTTTCGTTCTGGTGTAGAGGTGGTCGAAGATGCGCCACGCTCCGGAAGGCCTGTCGTCGAAAATTGCGATAAAATCGCTGAATTGGTCGAAGAAGACCGGCATAGTAGCAGCCGTAGCATCGGTCAAGAGCTGGGCATGAGTTATCAAAAAAATTTTTATGGACAATTGAAAATTCAATAAAAAATACCGCAAGACCTGTTTCACAACCTATTATATTGATTTTTCCTATCCTCAGTAGTGACTATTTTATGAAGAGTAAAATAAGCTGTAGGAGAAAACCTCTCAGACCCCTTTCTGGGTGAAAATTTTGGAGTGAAAAAAGGCTTTTGGCAAGTCAGAGAATAAGTAAAACCTTCTTGAGTAACGAACTGCTTTGTGACAAGAGTTCGTTGAAGATAGACCTCGTTCTTCGGCGATCTTCGACCAATCATCCGGCAAATGTAAGAGAGATAGCAAGAAAGCTCGACATTTTTCGCTAGTCCATTTGAACGGGTTTGGTGGATGTTTTGTGTATGAAACTCGTTCCGATAAAGCAAACCTTTTTTTTTCAAATAGAGTACTGTACCCAGGTCTCTTTGGAAAGATCGTGCGAATTCCGATCTCACATGCATAAAGTGCATTATAACTGCCGATGAGATATGAGTTTATGAGTTCGACATTCAAAAAAGTTAATAATCATTAAGGTCATGCTTATTGGTTTGTTCGACATTCGTGGTTTGGTGCATCATGAATTTGTTCCGGAGGGACAGATGGTCAATAAAAAGTTCTGTTTGGTCATATTGAGACGTTTGCATTAGAACATCTATCGAAATCGTGCGGAACTATGGAACAAAAATAAATGGATTTTACACGACGATAATGCACCATCGCATCAAGTCACGATTGTGACCGAATTTAAAGCCAAAAACGCAATGAGTACCATCCATCCACCAGCGTATTCACTAGATTTGCTTTATAAAAATATTTGCCACAAGAACAGTAAATCGGCTGAAATACATTTTTTCGTGCCATGTCGACGTTTTAAGTATTCTTGTTTATGAAAATATGCACACTTTTCTTTTAATGAATCTGATTCTGGATCTTATTGGTATTGACCTTTGAGGCGATTTTCTTAAAAACTTTTAACTGTTTCATTAAAGTGCAACACAATTGCCACTATATTAATACCAAACTCTAATGAACTCTAAAAGATTATATGCGTGGGTTGCCTTTAATGTTTCGTGATTTGGCAACACTAGTTTTGCAATCTAGCAACTCAAAGTCGTAAAGTTTGACATTTTTTATGTATGTGATATACACCTAAAATATTTTTAGTGCGTTTTATGTTTTTTACAGTAACTTAAAATATTCATCTCCGCAAAAAACTGGAAATAAATCGTAAAAAATTTCGCGCGATTACTTTTTCAAAACTTTTAACATAGATTAGCTCAGCAACCGTGCATAGCTGGATTTAATTAAATTTTTGACGCTGAAGTGCCATCAAGCACCAGTGTTGTTGAATTCGATCACCATCGTCGATCACTCCAAAATAAAAGCAGTTTTTATTCCGGAAACTATTGTGTCTGGACGCAAACTGATATTATCATGTGACCTACCGTGAGATTAAGACAATCTTAGGCATAAGGTGCAGCGACATGTGACTGGAAAAAAAGTATGTTCGCTATCAAGCCAATGATTGCCGGTTTTTTTGACAAACTGGACATATTTTTAACATACCACTAGAACAACGCAGAACCGTTAATTCTAACTGGCACATAACTATTTGCTTGTCTGCTGTTTTTCCAGAAATTAGGAAAAACCAACCGCTAAATTTGGATCACTTTTCATCACCACAATGTGATGGCTCACACATCGACTGAAAGAACTGCATATTTGAGCACTTTAAACATCGATTTGATGAGTCAACCATCGTGAAGTATTGTTGAATGACTTCTTTTTATTCCCGTATGGAAAAGAATAAATAAATAAATAAAGTTTGGCGATACTTGAAGAGACGGTTTATACATTCAGAACCCATTTTTTGGAGGCACCTCTAACAGAGTGGATCTGGCAGGTCAAATGTGACTCGATAATGTGTTTAATAATTGTTTCAATTCTCTAATCCTGAAACATAGAAGGCAAACCTCGTATTAGTCACAGCTGTACTAATTACTTGACTGTAGAAAACAAATTTGTTCAGTTTGCCTCCGCCAAAAATCTGTTGATTCTAATTTTTCGTATTTAGACTAGTTTTTAGTAGCCACAATTTCATTGGGCTCCTGTAAATATGTGGTGTACTGAGGCTTTAACATTTTGCGAAGAATATGTCATTTCGTGCATTAAACTCACTGTTTAATAAAATATTGTAAATATTTCTTTTAAAAAGTTATAGCTGCAACCAATTGTATGCCACATTGGAAGTAGGATTCAAAAAATGTTTAGCTGTCGGGTTTTAAGACAAGAAAAAGATTTAAATTTATTTTCGTCTAACTCATTTACACAATTTTCGTGAAAATCAAATATTAAATACTTTGAATTAATAAATAAAATATTTATTTGCTTTAATTTTTAATTTTAAGACTTACATAT